GCAGAAATTCAAGGTGTTTGTTGTTCATTTGTTCAAACGTTTCCGACTCTTCATGATCTCATGAACCAGCCGACGCCAGAGCTCCCTGTCACCACCCCCAGCTCCTTCAAGGTCAATCTAGTCACTTCAAGGATGCCATCCATCCATCGTGCCCTTGGTCGGTCCTCTTCCTTTTTCCTTCCATTTCCCCCAGGATAATTGTCTTCTCTAAGCTTTCCTTTCTTCTCATGATGTGGCCAAAGTACTTCATCTTTACCTCTACTATCCTTCCCTCCAATGAGCAGCAGTCGGGCTTTATTTCCTGAAGTATGGACTGGTTGGATCTTCTGGCAGTCTAAGGCACTCTCAGAACTTTCCTCCAGCACCACAGTTCTAAAGCATCTATCTTCCTTCGCTCAGCCTTCCCTAAGGTCCAGCTCTCACATCCGTAGAGAGCTTTAACTATGCGGATCTTTGTTGCCAGTGTGAAGTCTCTATTCTTCACTATTTTATCAGGATTGGACATTGAGTAGCCCAAGAAAGGAGGAAAACAAAAGTAAACAGTGATAGGAGGAGATATGCCCAATTAAATGCACAATTCCAGATGTTAACCAGAAGAGATAAGGAACTATTTTTAAACAAGCAATAAATGGAAGTGGAAGAAGACAACAGAATAGGAAGGACAAGAGACCTCTTCCAGAAAATTAGAAACATTGGAGGTAAATTTCAGGCAAAAATTGGCATGATAAGAAACAAAGATGGCAGGGACCTAACAGAAGCTGAAAAGATCAAGAGAAGGTGGCGAGACTATACAGAAGATCTGTATAGGAAGGATAACAATATCGAGGATGAGTGAATTAGAACCAGGCATCCTGAGGAGTGAGGTTGAATGGGCCTTAAGAAACATTACTAACAAGGCAGCAGGAGACGACGGGATCCCAGCTGAACTATTTAAAATTTTGAAAGATGATGCTGTCAAGGTGATGCATGCCATATGCCAGCAAATATGGAAAACACAAGAATGGCCACCAGACTGGGAAAAAATCAACATATCCCCATACCAAAAAAGGGAAATGCTAAAGACTGCTCAAACTTTCGTACAGTGGCCCTTATTTCTCATGCCATTAAGGTATTGCTCAAGATCCTGCAAGGAAGACTCCAGCAATACATGGAGCGAGAGTTGCCAGATATACAAGCTGGGTTTGGAAAAGGTAGAGGAACAAGATACCAAATTGCCAATATCTGCTGGATAATGGAGAAAGGCAGGGAGTTTCAGGAAAACATCTATTTCTGTATTATTGACTATTCTAAAGCCGTTGACTGTGTGAATCATAATAAATTGTGGCAAGTTCTTGGTGGTATGGGTATACCAAATCACCTTGTCTCTCTCCTGCTGAATCTCAAAGTGTTTACAGATACATATAACTTCACCTCTGAGCTGCTATGGAAGCCAATTTAACACATTTTAAACATAGCTGCTCCCTTGCTGTCTTCTGTGAATCAGATTAATAAGTTAGAACAACACAATTGAAAGTAGTAACATTTTCTAGTACTATTCATTTTTAAGGATTTTGTTTTTCCTCTCATTGTTTTTGAGTTTTTTCTCTCACTCGAATTATAGAAAGCGCAAACATCCACTCTTGAGACACCTAAACACAGCTTGAATTCTCAGCCACTTCATGTATCTCAGAATTCGAAATCTACTAATGTGAATGAATTGGAATATACACAGAAGTCTTCATGGACTCCGGCCAAGGTTGGTTTCTTAATATATTTGAATTATCCATTAATTTTTAATAAGGTAATAGTTCAGAATTCATTTTCAGATTCCCATCTATGCCAATACTTTGTATACAATACAAATGGATTTATTTTAAAACAAGGAAAATGTCCTTGTGCTTATTACTGTCAATATTCATGTTTGAGAAACAATTTTTGGACAAAATATTAAGCAAAAAACAAACAAACAAAAAACCTCCATATCCACACAAGTGAAATATTTAGTTCTAACTTTGATGCTGGTGCTATCAGAACACATGATATCCCACTACTTTCCAAATGAATGCTATTCTTTTAAATAGCTGAGGTCTTTAAGACCATTAAAAAAAACACCCCTATTTACCCTGCATTTTCTAGTAGAAGCAACTTCTTTACAAGTGTGACCTTTACTCTGAATCCGGAATTGAAAGGTATATGGGAGTAGGAACCCCAGTGGTGCAGTGGGTTAAACCACTGAGCTGCCGAACTTGCTGATCAAAAACTTGCAGGTTTGAATCCGGGGAACGGTGTGAGCTCTCACTGTTAGCCCCAGCTTCTGCCAACCTTGCAGTTTGAAAACATGCAAATGTGAGTAGAACATAGGTACCACTCCGGCGGGAAGGTAACAGCGTTCCATGCAGTCATGCCGGCCACATGACCTTGGAGGTGTCTATGGACAATGCCGGCTCTTCAGCTTAGAAATGGAGATGAGCACCAACCCCCAGAATCAGACACAACTGGACTTAATGTCAGGGGAAAACCTTTACCCTTTACCTATGGGGGTAGGATGGCAGGACAAATTAGTGGGTATTTACCTGAGCTGAGAAGACATGATGTTAAAAAAATGCATATAGGTTTAATGGAAAACTAGCAGGGCTTCTGAAACATTAAATATATGCATGAGTGGAAGATGAGTAAAGTTCAGGGTAGGAAGAGTCTCAAACTTGTGTTGACAATCTTTTTTAGTTCAGTGTACTTCAAATAGACAACCTTTGGAAGAAATATTTTATTTTCTCCACAGCTTTATCAAGCATCATGCCAATGCAATGAGCTAACCAGCACTGTACTTTCTGTATATATTTACTATAATATTTCACACGAGGATCTTTGAACAAGCGTTTCTAGTTATAACACTGAGAATTTTACTATAACAAATTGTTTTAACTGTCTTTATTTCACCAAGATTTACACTGTGAAGACACCTCCAAAATCTAAATTGCAAAGAGAAAGCACCAATCAATGCTCAGAAGACAGAAGAAAGAAAAAGAGAAGAGTTCTGTTAGAAATGGATACACGGTCAGATAGTTCTGAAAATGACCTTCTGGTACTTATCTGAAAATAAAATTCACCTTGCTATTTAAAAGATGTCATATAGTAACTGAAAATAATGTTGGCTAAATATATCTGATATTTGCATATTTATGACTTTATGTTGAAGCAGTATCAGTTTTTCCATTTTTCTTCATTTCTTATTTAATATAGCTATAATATGATTATTTCTACAATATAAAAGTCAGCATGTTATTGTGATTTGATTAGTGGACTAGGATATTGAGAGACCACGGTTTGAATCCTGGCTTGGTCATGGAAATCTTGGGTGACTCTAGGCAAGTAACACCCTCTCAGCCTCAGATGAAAGTAAGGGCAAATCTCCCTCTGAACAAATTCTGCTAAGATTCTCAAGATGGTATAGTGCAATAACCCACAATGACTGGGTTTAACCTCCACATTAATAAACAATATGATCAGGAGCTTCTGCTTCAGAATTAATATAAATATAGCCTTGCTGAATCAGATTAAATTCATTTTTTCTACAGTGGTAGCCAACCCTTCTGTAGCATGAAATGATCGAAATATCCATTATACAGCATCCTCTAAATAATCTGCCATAAACTTTTCTGTGGTTGCCTAATAAGTTCCCTGTCATAGTTAACTGTGAATACGCACATATGATATTTCTGCGCCTGTGCAGAGCAGCTTTGGAACCTTCTGGAAGATAAAAGTAGACATTTTTACCCCTGCCTCGCCCTGCCCCTCGAGTATATATAGCCCATGGGCAAGGCTAGGCCTCCAGTTCTCTTCATCCACCGCTCTAGCAGCAGCTCTTGAACCTTCGTTCCTGACTAGCTTCTATTGGACTGCTTTCTTTTGTACCTGACTGTGGACTCCCTAAGTATCTCTTATTTCTCCTGTCTAATTTAGCCCTGAAAACTATGGGAATGCAGTCCAGGCACTGGAGGTAATGGGTTTACCCCGCACCTTCCAAGAAGGTGCGGAATAAACCCGCTATTAAATTAATTTGCTACAAATCAGGGGTTTCCTGGTTTGTGGTGGATTAATTCTGGTTTGTCCAGAATGTCGTCTGGACAGCCCCCTTTTATTGCGGAAGTTTCTGTATTAAAGGAGCTGTCTAGATCTGCCCAGAGAAATGCCATTTTAGGTTCATAGGGGAGAATATGTAACAAAAATATTGTTAAAGATTTGCATGGTATTTTTTCCTGTTCCCTGCACACTGAATGAAATGCTACTCAAGTTAATGGCTTTTACAGTTGCTTCCCAGGCACCATAAGGATTGTAGTTTGAATTAGCTTGCATTAAATGGTTTTCCACAGTTTTGTATAATAGAAAATGAAAGAAAGGTCTCTGTGGATTTTACTAATTTTTAATTTTTTTCCAGTGTCTTGTGTCAAAAGAAGATAGGTTTCAGCAACTGTATAAAGATTACCCACCAGCACCTCATGTCAGGACCCCAATTCCAATGACACCAGAAAAGGTATCTTCTCACATTTGCTGTGTGCTGTGAATCTCAATGGTCTTAACAAAATTAACTAAAGCTTCCTTTTTGTATGTAGGTTCAAACTCCATCTAGCATCAAAACCCCTGGATCCTTAGTGAAGCTTGCTGCTATAAAAAAGATGCGAGAGTCAGGATGGTCTGCAATCTCCAAAATGGACAGAAAAAACAAACTGAAAGAAGCTGAAAAGCTTTTTTCATAAACTAAAAATATACTACTGTTATGTAACTAATAGGCTTGCTTATTACTTTATTTAAATTTAACATTGCCTTTGTTAAAGTATTGAACCCTTCAGTAATTCAGATGTAAAAAAGAGTTTATGGCCTGATCCATCCTCTGCAGCTAGCATTTGTGGTGGGGAAAAGTCAGGTTCAATAAAGCCCTCTTTCCTCTTTTGCACCAGGTCCTGAAAAGAAGAAAGATGCCTGTAAATTTTTAGATAGCACTATAGTTGAAACAGTGTGTAGACCACAGGGCACCAGCACTGGAGGAATAATGAAATAGGATTCCAGTGAAATCTATGTCAGTTTTCTCACCACATGAGCAATGGCAGTATATATTAATAAAAACAGGGAAAACCTGACAAAGTTTTTAGAGTTAGCAAAAATACAATTTTATTAAAGTTTTAGTAAAGTTTTATGTTACTTATTTAAGCACAATACACGGAGACCAGAATTATTCATCATTAGAGCAATTAAATCATTTTTATTCAATCTTTATTATTACAACAATAACATAATAAATTACAATAAAGAAAAATATTCACAATAGCAAGGAGATCTAACATAGCTGATAAAATAATTAAATTAGTACTGTGGATTTCTGGGGGGTCAATTCTGTGTATGAATAAATCTGGATCCAGTAAAATATTGTGCACAAGCAGTCACTAAGTTGCAAAGAATTATTAACTATTCTTGTATAACTTGTAAATGTTTCTTTGTTTTAATAAACATCTTTGTGAGTTCTATTTTCTGATTTTATTCAAACTGACATCACAGTGGGTTAATTTTGCCACTTTGAAGGATCTGTGTCCCATCCATTATAAATCTCCTGGTGTTTTCTGAAATGTTTCATAAGCTGGGGAAATGTCCTGTTCTTTTTCTCCTGACAGAAATTCCAATTTGAGTTGTCCTGGTTGAACACTAAATGGTAAATAATCATTTGTAAGTTCATCATCTTCATTCACCATGTTGGGATTATATATTCTTGGTGCGTCATACAGTCCTCCTGATATAACCAGTACATCCTCTGGAATTGCATATCTTTCTGCTGTGAAAAGTTTGGGAAAATATATTATTGGGGAAAGAAAATAAATCTAAACAACCTCAAGGCTCAAAATTCTTTCTTGTATAGTGTAAAACTGGATTTACAAAATATCAAGTAAGGCAGTGACCACAACAATTTTTTAAAAGTGTTGCTATCAAGATAAGTAGTTTGACTATGTTCCAAATCCCACTTTACTTTTCACATTTCTGTCATCCAATTAGCAGTCTTCAGCACTTACCAAAAAGCTCTCAACTGTTACAGTATGCCATGTGCTCCATTGGATTTCCATCTGAAAATATGAAATAATTTCATGCTTCTACATATAGGTCTTTTGATAAAAATTCTCTACTAACCTGTTTCAGAAGAAGTATCATAAAGTGGATGGTGGGAATATTGATCTCTTCTCTTTCTAAATTTATTGAAAATATAAACAGTGAATCCTAGGATTGTTAGTGCAAGAAGAATGGCAAAACTGATTGTTAAGATGGCTTCTGAATTCTTCAAACGACCACCTCCTGCTGAAATGAAAGAATACAGACATGTTCCTCTCACATAGGTTTGCTAGTCAGGCTCTGAGGTTTCCTAAAACCAAGGATGACTGCAGGTAATATCATTAACTGTGATGCATTAGATAACACCCATAGCAGCTCACAGTTTGACATTCAAACTCTGGCCCCATCTACTCTGTCATATAATCCAGTTTCAGAATGCAGATTAACTGCATTGAACTGGATTATATGTCAGTGTAGACCCGTATAATCCAGTTCAATGCAGTTCAGTCTGCATTATATGAATCTACACTAACCATTATAACGCAGTTCAACTGGATTATTTGGCAGCGTCGATGTTATCTCTCTCACACACATACATCCTGCACCCAATTTTCCTGTTTAGAAATTCATACAGGAAGCTAAAAGGACTGCTCCCGGATCAAGTTGAAATTAGAGGATTTTTCCTTCTATGTGAAATGGAATAAATAACATTTAGTGTAGCCTACTCACTTCTAGCCAGAAGGTGAATGTAAAACAGATATGATATTAAGCCCTTGTACTGCATAGACCGAGAGGGGTAGAGGAAGCTAACTCAGTAAATGCATAACTGTTAAGATTTGTAAGTTACTCAACATTTCTGTAAGTGATAACCAGTGTCTCATGTCTAACCACAGGTGTCATTGTAATTGGGATGTGAGGGCCAGTTTGATTGTAGAAACTAGGGGTTAGTTTGAGGGTTGATGGATGAAGAGAGAGAGTTTGTTGTATATACTGTAAATACTGTACTGGTATTTCAATTGAAGAAAGAAAACCCTTCTATTTGGAAAGAAAAGCTTTGTGTCTGTGTTCTTGTTTCAGAGGAGACCACTTCACAGCAGGCCCGTAGCCAGGATTTCGTTTCGGGGGGGGGGGGGGGGCTGAATTTTTTTCAGGGGGGTTTCGGGGGGGCTGAGTTTTGGGGGGGCTGAGTCTGAGTGAAAGAGGGTCTAGCCTAGCAAACCTTTTGTATCATTACCCCAATACCCCCATGCATATGGGATATATTGAGTATGGTGATCAGATCATGATATGAATAAACATAACAGTTTAAATTGATGCACCAATAAGGCCTTTTCGCGAACCACCATGAGAATTTCGGGGGGGGGGGGGGCCCCTCAAGACCCCCCCCCCGGCTACCTACCTCTGGTGCACATGAAGATGATGCCTAACAGGAGTGAAGAGCTCTTCTGCTGTGTATCAGATAATTTAATGTTGTTTGAACCCGTGCCACTAACCCCATGTAGAGTCTTTGCAAGTAGCAACAACAAAACCTTGAAAATAGTTGTTGCTCCCCTAGCTGAGCTGGAAATATGTATACAGCCCTGTCCTCTGCAAACTGGCATGGTGTAGTGGTTTGGGCACTGGACTACACCTGGAGACCGGATTTCAAATTCCTCCATGTTAATGAAAACCTACTGGGCAAGTCACATTCAGCTTCAAAGAAAAGCAAAGACAAGCGTCCTCTCAACAAATCTTGTCAAGAAAACTCTGTGATAGTGGCACTTTAGGGTTGTCATAAGAAATGACTTGAAAGCACAGAACAACAACAACTTTTTCTCTAATCTGGAACAGTGCCCATCAAAACTGGTGAATTTGTAATCTTCCCTCCCACCTGGAGATGACTCCTAAAAACTTGTGACTCAAGCCAGGTCCTGAGATTTGGCAACTTGTACATCATTTTTAGAAGCTCACTATGCAAAAATGGTTGAAAACAGTGATAGATATTTTAACCTTAGTCTCATGTTAATGTGGCCCTAACTGTCATGTGATAATGTCTTTAGAGATCAAGCTCAGACAACAACACCATCATCATAGTTATTTCCACATTCTAACAAATAAATGGAGAAGTACAGGAAATGAGATTATTTAACTTCACATAATTCATTCCCAAAGATCTCAATAAAATATTGTTATTGAAAGGAGTTAATGATGTTTTGCTTTGAATTTCGTGTGAGAATTATCAATAATCAAAGCCCAGATCTCTTGAACCTCCTTGGTACTTCCATTTATATGGTTATGTTAGAGGCACAATGGGTTAAACCTTTGTGCTGACTGAACTGCTGGCCTGGAGGCTGGTTCAAATACATGAGATGGCGTGAGCTCCAGCTTCCCATGCAGGGACTTGAGAGAAGCCTCCCACAAGATGGTAAAACATCTGGGCATCCCTGGGCAACGTCCTTGCAGATAGCCAATTCTCTCACACCAGAAGCGACTTGAACTTTCTTAAGTTGCTTCTGACACACACAAAAAAATTAGAGACCCAAACTGTCATCTTGATGGGCATATACATTTACATAAGTTTTCCTTATTCATATTTCTTTTTGGGGGGCACTGTGGGGTTCATATTTCCTTCCTCCATTCACGATGCTCAAAAAAGGTAACATTTTGTACATAGTGAACAATCTCTGAAGACCCCTGCACAGCCACCATGTGCTACAGGGGAGCAGACAGGACCAGAGAAGTATCTGTTCATATCTCCAGAATCAGATGTGCCATTATCTCTGAAATATGTTGGGGTCCTGTGAGTGTCTCGAACTGCTCTAATCATTTCATGTCTGGCACTGGGACCTACTATGCTATAATGAGCCATACACCATAGGCCACATTCTATTGTCTCCCTGGCGTAGTATAAATACCCACATGTGAACATAGGCTATGGCAGCATTATGTAACACCCATGCAGAATAGCAACACTGCACAACGTATGTCATTGAGTTGCATTGTGCACTACACTATACACAATGCATGACCACAATGCAAAGTATAGGATGCACAACCAAAATGCATAACTTGCAAAGACAAGGCTCAAACAAAGATGTTTCTGTGCAACTTTGCCTCTGCCATTATCAACAGGAAACATCCATTATGCAATGACTTTTTGACCCTGCATGCTTAGCATGACTTATGTGTGAATTTATCTCCAAGTGAATTCAAGCCATAACGTCCATGTTTCCATCACTACTTTTTGACATAAGAATCTCCAGATTAATTCAGTCTGTGATTATTATTATTATTTTTGCTCCTGTACTGAATTGGGCCAATCTTGTTTTTATCAAAGACTGGTACTAATTAGTCTAAATTGTTCAAATTTGCTTTAGAATTTGGTAGAATTGGTTGTAGAGTCTTATCAAATATATAATTTATCCATCATTACCTTGAAACTTATTTGATGAAACCAAAGCCAGAAGCTTGCTACTGATTAATGGCATACTTGTTGAAACTTGGGCTATCAAACTCGATGTTATAGCTGAAGTTGTTGCTTTGGGATCTTCAACAGTGGATTGATACACAGAATTACTAAAGAATGATTCAGCAGGAAATGTTGTCACCTTTTTGGTTTCAGCAATGGTATCTGATGAACTGTTTCTTTCTGTACTAGGAGAGTGAGTGCTTTGTGATAAATAAGATAACATTGTGGAAACACTGGTAGTATTCGCAGTTATGGTATATATATTCCAGTTGGTACTTGTGTTATGCAAGGCAGTGTTGTCTGCTTCTTTAGTGGTTATTGTGGGCATTTCAGTCCTTTCAGAAGTAGCAGCATGTCTTGCTTCATGAGTAGTCATTGTGGTTTGCATATATTTAGCCTTTAGTAGCAAGTAACCTGTAACATGAAGGGGAACCGTCTTATGGCAAAAGCTAAAAAACTTGGACTTTATCACATGAAGCAATTACAGTTGTATTATCACTGATAGCAGATACGTACGTACTAAGTTGAAAACAGTTGATATTGAATATGTCTTCATTAGAATAATTGTGCTGATTTGCCAGTTGGTGATCCTATGATTGTATTTCCTTGTACCCTCATAGCCCCACCTTCCCATGCTTAAAAGTAACAAAATGCAAATATAAAATAAAAGGAAAACAGCCAAGGAGAGGAGGAGAATGCTGCACCCTGACATTACTTTTACTGCTAGTATACTGACACAGAAACAGAGGGGACCCATTGCACCAAGTAGGTGACAAGGACATTGTGGCATTGGAAGCAATTGATGGGTTTTACCTGCTAATAGTTAGGGATGAGAGACAAACATGCAGCAAGAAGCACAGGGCATTTTGCAATGGGGACCATCACTTTGCCTACCTCATGCAGTAAAGTCCAAGCACAGTATCTTTTTCTAACCATTATTACTAGTCCTTTGATCTTTGATTCCTTTATTGCCACACATACCTGATTTCAGTTTAGAAAGGCACACGGGACCTCCATTACATTGCCACATGAGTGCAATGAGTTGTTTCTTGTGTGTGTACATGTTAGCTGTATCAGTTTATGTCTAGTCACACAACCACAGCAGCGGTAGCTTTAAAAAATCCACCACACATACACATATTATTAGCACTCACTTATTTGTTTAATCAAGTATTTCTCAGTTTTCTTGTCATGTGGTCTTCCCACCTGTATAGAATAATAGAATCATAGAGTTGGAAGCGACCTCATGGGCCATCCAGTCCAACCCCCAGCCAAGAAGCAAGAAAATTGCATTCAAAGCATCCCCAACAGATGTACTTTGTAGAGTGAAGCCAGTAGAAAAGAGGGAAGTGAAATACTGACCTGTGAATATGTGCAACTATATGTATACAATCACCCCCCCCCCCACCACCACCACTGAGCATTGCCTTTCCTGGATGCTGATACAAACAAGGGAATTATCCTTACACGGCAAGAGCCACCTAACCAAGATGACCACCCACCAACTTGCTCCCATCTTCCCACCAGGAGGATGCTTTTAGCAGAGGCAGCAGAGAAAGGAAGAAGGACAAACATGAAAGGAAAGTGGCAAAGGGGAAGAATAGTGTCAACTTCTGGAAAAAAAGGAGGGACAACTATGGGAAAAGAAAATGGTGCCCTGTAAGCCCTAATAGTCTGTGGCATTCCCTCAATAACCCAACCGCTTTTCAGGTGCTTGAAAAATCAGATGCCAAAACAATCATACCACCAGCAAACTTCTACCCTAGAGTATCATCAGAAGCATCTACCAGAAAGATGAATGGTATAAGCCTAATTCTTACTTAGTCTTCAGGATGCCTGGTAGAAAACTAGGAAGTTGAGACCCTTGAAATCTTATTCAGAAGGAGAGGCCTCCAGCTTTTTAGGCAGAAGAGTAATAAGACACTATTTTCCTTTAAGAGACTTTATTGGTCACTGACAAGAAGCCAGTGATATAAGTATTTCTGGGTTCGTAAATAAAAACCTGAATCTGGAAACTAAAAACAATACTGATCTTAGTATCAGTTTGTTGTTCGAAATGGTGATCAAAGGAGGGTGAAATGCACTACTGCTTGGTGACCTTTGGCAGACAACCAGAATGAGGAAGTAACCTATCACATTTTTCATACTGGCCATGCTGACCTTTGGCTTCAAGGGTGCTCACTATTTTCATATGGACTTTACAGATTACCATTATCACCTCCCAAGAAGCAGACCTCAATGGAAAAAAACATGTATATAGACATTTGAATGTGACTTAAGGCAAAGCCATCAATTTCATAAACTTTTCTTATGTAAGCAATCATTTGAAGTGATTTTGCCAGTCAAAGGGTAAAATAAATCAAAACCTCTTCTCCGCTGGCTCCCAGCTTCTGGATCTCCATGTGATGAAGTCCTAAAAGTTTCTCAGAAATGTCACATCAAGGGGTGGAGTGAGAAGTTGCTTTAGTACAGAGAAATATGCCTTTGTGGAAACTGATCAGATGTGATATGTGGCCATTCTTTCTGCTCTAATTCTAATATCTAACTTGAAAAGATCAGCCTAATACCAAACACAGCTTAAAGTTGGGAAGAAATCAGTGAAAGCAACATCCTAATTTTGGCTCAACTTATTCCTGCTTCTTAAGAGTATTTTCAACTCTGAATAGTGGCCCAGAAAATAAAAATTATTTACAGTAACAGAAATCTGAATCAGATATATTAGAACTCACCAAGGAAGGTTGAGGTGGTTGAGCTTACTGGCAGTTACTCCAAGTAATCGATACTCTGCCTTAGCATGTTTCTGTGTATTTAATAACTGGAGGAACTGTTTGCTCGAGGGCTGGGCAAAGCATAAAGAGATCCCTATGGCAACAGGTGAAACCATAAAAAGGTTCACAGATTAGTCACGTTGAACAATAACTGGTTGGGTTGGGCTCACCTGTCATTTGAGTACAGCTGGGAAACATAACAGGAAATAATGCTTCATATTATAAGGCAGCAATTCAGTGCAAGATGAAAGGTGTGTCCAGTAAAAGAGATTCTATAACTTTACTGAAAAATGTTATTATAAAAGCACCCCCTTTGTGCTTGAAATAGTTTCCCTCCCAAGAATTGTAAGAGTATTAAAAACATTCTGATTTTGATCAGAGTGCTGTCTTTTCTTTAAAAAGAGGAAGGAAGGGAGTGGGAAATTCAGGACTGCTGCTAGGATCTACACGTTAAAAATTTTTGGTGCTAAAATTGGCACTACTGCTTTATGCTGGATTTTAGATAATTGTGTGTTTTTATGTGGTACTGTTTGGTTTTATTTTCTTTATCTTTCTGTTGGTTTTATTGTGTTTTCATTATGGAGTTATTTTGTATTATAGATTTTTAATTTGCATGCTGACAAAAGAACGGCTCCTATTGACGTATAATTAAAAAAAACCACATCAAACACACAATGCTTGAATAACACTATGTAACAAATTTTGGGGGAAAAATCTGTTCCAGGTTTGAAAGTGTTATTCCTGTTTACTTGTGCAGTACTTACTTTGAAAGTAGTTGTTATACTCCAGAAACTTCGTTTTTGTGACTGCCACAAACTGTTGAATTGGTTGAGAGATATTTATTGAAAAACTATGTGCTGCAGGATATCTCACAAAAACACATTTTTTGCAGTTTAATAAACCTTTTCCATGTTTTTATGATAGAACCAATTAGAAAATGACATTTATAAGCGAGGAACAAAACATGTGTTAGATATTGTAATAGGAATGTTCAAAATATCCATGAGACATTCAAAACAAAATTAAATCCATGATCTGGAGATCTCTATTTCAGAATTCTAAATATTCCTCCCTAAATGCCATCTAAGTGCCATAAGTTGTTGCCTTGGACTCATAGGTGGCATTATATTTTCATTCACCATCAATATCGTCATCCCAGAATATGCTTCCATGATGCAATTGTTATTTTCATGGACTAGAGAAGCTAGTTCAGCCCCTTCTGTTATTTTGTGCGTATCAACACAAAATCTACACTCAGTCTTAAGAAATCACTCCCACAATTCTACCTCTGCAGTATTAATGTTTTTTGTGACCAATTGTTCGAAAAACAGTGGATTTTATGGTAAAAATCCTCCAAGTTACTGACCCACCTTTAGCATATATAAGAACTCAACAAATTGGCTGAAATCATCAACAGGCTGGAGCTGTAAATACTGTTTTGTGATAAACACCCCAAGTGAATGATTAATTTGTAATCTAGAAAGCTAGTAGCATATACAACAGTCCTTCTTTTTGTACAAAACTACTACTTCTTGAATCTTAAGAGCAACACAATTTCAGTCTGAGAATGCAGCAATTCAGTTTTAGAAAAATAAACAGGCTGGGTGTTGAAAGGTTATAGGGCTTGACCAGTCCACTGTATCCTTTTTTCCTGTTTCATGCTAGAATCAAGAAAATATTTTTTGTGGATTGGATGCTGGCTCTGGAACCAGATCAGACAGTAGATCGCCGGGATATATATAATCATTTATATGCAAAAAATTCCAGGTAGGTTTAATAGACATGCATAGATAACATTGCCCTTTCTGGGTTGTTGTAGGTTTTTTCGGGCTATATGGCCATGTTCTGGAGGCAATTTTTCTCCTGACGTTTCGCCTGCATCTATGGCAAGCATCCTCAGAGGTAGTGAGGTCTGTTGGAATTAGGAAAAATGGGTTTATATATCTGTGGAATGACCAGGGTGAGACAAAGGACTTTTGTTTGCTGGGGCTAGCTGTGAATGTTTCAGCTGATCACCTTGATTTGCATTCAATGGCTTGGTAGCGCCTGGGGGGAATCTTGTGTGGGTTTTCTGTAAACGGTGTGACCCAATTGTTGATCTGGTTTACGGATGACTAGGACATCTAGCAAAGGCAGTCTTCCTTAATTTTCTTTTTCCATGGTGAATTGGATGTTTGGGTGGATGCTGTTAAGATGGTCCAGGAACCTGTTGAGTTCTTCTTCTCCATGGCTCCAATTGGTGAAGGTGTCATCCACATATGCTACTCCATCTTTCTGTTCATAGAACTCATTGTCCCACTGAAAGTAGCTGGTGGTGAGGCAATGGTGAAACAGATCTGTGATGTCTTCTGGGAAAGATGGAGTAGCTATGGGGAGCCCTCTCAGCCCAGTCATAGCTAATTTCTACATGGAACACTTTGAAAAACAAGCCCTGGAAACAGCAACCAAAAAGCCCACATATGGTTCAGATATGTGGATGACACCTTCACCATTTGGAGCCATGGAGAAGAAGAACTCAACAGGTTCCTGGACCATCTTAACAGCATCCACCCAAACATCCAGTTCACCATGGAAAAAGAAAATGAAGGAAGACTGCCTTTTCTAGATGTCCTAGTCATCCGCAAACCAGATCCACAATTGGGTCACACCGTTTACAGAAAACCCACACACACAGATAGATATCTACATAAAAACTCCAACTATCACCCAAGTCAAAAAAGAAGCACCATTAAAGCCTTGGCAGACCGTGCAAAAAGAATCTGCGAACCCCACCTCCTCCAAGATGAACTGAACCACCTCAACTGGGCTCTCCAGGCCAATGGATACTCCACCTCTGACTGCAAAGAGCTGCAAGACCGAGAACAAGCCACGAGAGTAAAGATGAAGATCCACCCAGAGGAAAAGTGTTTGCCATACATCAAGGGAACCACTGACCACATAGGGAAGCTGATGAGGAAACACAACATACAATACAGACCCACCAAGAAAATCCAACAAATGCTACGTTCAGCAAAGGACAAGAGGGATCCTCTCACCTCTGCAGGAGTCTATCGTATACCATGCAGCTGTGGACAAGTCTACATAGGGACCACCAAACGCATCGCCCAGACACGCATCAAGGAACATGAAAGGCACTGCAAACTACTTCAACCAGAGAAGTCAGCCATAGCAGAGCACCTGATGAACCAACCTGGACACAGCATATTATTTGAGAACACAGAAATGCTGGACCACTCTCACAACCACCATGTCAGACTACACAGAGAAGCCATTGAAATACACAAGCATGTGGACAATTTCAACAGAAAGGAAGAAACCATGAAAATGAACAAAATCTGGCTACCAGTATTAAAAAACTGCAAAATTACAACAGCAAAACAACAGAGAGGAAACAATCTAATCACCTCTCAACAAAAGATTGCCCCAGCCACTGCCAAGCCATCAAATGCTAATCAAGGTGGTCAGTTGAAACATTCACACCTAGCTCCAGCAGACAAAAGTCCTTTGTCCCACCCTGGTCATTCCACAGATATATAAACCCATTTTCCTACTTCCAACAGACCTCACTACCTCTGAGGATGCTTGCCATAGATGCAGGCGAAACGTCAGGAGAAAAATTGCCTCCAGAACATGGCCATATAGCCCGGAAAAACCTATAACAACCCAGTGATTCCGGCCATGAAAGCCTTCGACAATACATTGCCCTTTCTGTTTCTACTGTTTCAATAATTTCCATTTCCTATTGGTCTTCCTCCTCCTCATTTCCTTGGGATAACTTCTCCAACTTAACAGTAAAAAAGAAAAAGAAAAAAGAAAAGGAAGAAAATAAAATAAAACAATGAAGATAATTAGTTAATAGAAATAAACAAGTGAAAAGATTTTTTTCTTTTATTACTTGGGAAAGTTTTTTGATTGGAAACAACTCCTGTGATAAAGTTGTTCTTGGAATGGTGCTAAAAATAAAACTAGAAAGTTTAGGTTCCTTTCATTCCAAGTAGAAGCAAGAAAACATATTACAGCTGGATTCCTCCCATGTGTTCCTGTGTTCTTAGAAATAAGGTGTTAAAAACAGGAACAAGGAGATTCCCCCCGCACCAATCAATTAGAAAACATAATTTTCAAATGAAGAAATATTTTGTCATAATTTAGAGTAGATTTTAAAAAGTTTGTATGACATGCTCCGAACAACTGTTTTTTGTCCTTCATGCATCATATTTGAGATTATTTCCAGAGCCCAAGCAATTTTCAAAGAATTTCTTATTGAATTTCAATTTTTCTGTTGAAATTATTCATGAGTAAAAACTTTGTTATTACTTAAAACCTTGACAAGGATATTGAGGCAAACATGATGTGAAAAACCAAGTACAATTCTGGGGTAAATACAGAATTGCAAATGCTGTATTTCTTCCATTCTAAGGTGCACTTTCACCCCTTTCATCCCATAAGCATCTCTAAAAACAAAGATAGATTTATCTTTAGAAGTCAGATTTTGCTGTGGTGGTACATGCCTTGTTCACATCCTTTTTGGACAACAGTAACTCGCTCTACATGGAGCTGCCTTTGAAAAGTGCTCAGAAATGTCTGCTGGTCCATAGACAGTAGCCAGATTGCTAACTGCGTCTGGCTACAGGGAGCATACAACTCCTCTGTTGCAAGAAAAGAAGAAGAAGAAGAAGAAGAACTTTATTTTTCTACCCCACCTCCATCTCCTTAAAGGGACTCAGGGCGGCTTACATGGGGCCAAGCCCAAGGCAGAATAAATTAAAAGCAAAACAATAACAATTAAGACAACATAAAACAGCAAAAAATCAGTGTAACAATAATGACAAGTGTGAAGATCCCTTACCTTGCCAGCGAGGGTGGCAGGGCCTAAGAGAGACAGGCTAGGTAGTTTCAGCTTAGAAGGCCTGGCAGAGGGCAGCAGGAGCCATCTTAGTTTAGGGAAAGCTCCAGTTCAGAGAGGGGGAGTGGCCTAGGCCTGAGCCAGCCCTGAAACAGCCAGGATTGGTTTGTAAAAGGGGGGCGGAGTTA